ATTCATTACATCACTAGTACATATACACATTTCATTTACTAGCTATGAGAGAAAGAAAATGTGCTCGCGCACTGCTTTCCCTTGCTTAAATCCCCCACGCAACTGCCGTTCGCCTCGCCCGAACACACTTTTCGTAACGCGTAACGCATTCGCCAGCTTACCCCCCAAGTCAAGCGTGCGTAAAGAAATTTCACTTCAAAAACCTCACAGATATATTTATAAGGTAAGTAATGTGTATTACATTTCACAACACAACATAGAATACTGTTATATATCAACCGAAAGTTGCAAATTAACAAAAGTTATTATATACAGCAACGATATTAAATACCCTAGATACACCACGTGCACTCAAAATGTGTCCTAATCAAGAAGTGCTTGAACTCCACTCAAGCACTTCTTGGTTCACAGTCACGCGCGGACCGTTGAAAAGTAAAGATGCCACTGAGCTCCGTGAAAAATGCGAAAAAAATATTAATAGTACGTAAAGTGTCGTTTTTACGACGGGTATCTAATCAATGTTTGTTAATTTAACGCATTTTAAGCAAATTTTGTTCTAATACTTACTATAAACTGATTTAGTATAAAATATTTGTGATATTCAAATGCATGGTCGGTTATACGTCGCCGTATAGCCGTCTCTTTTCTTCGCGGTCCGTACCTGCTATATTGCTAACAACGCATTCAGAATTGCGCGTTAAGTCAAAATCATAAGGTCCATATTCTTCCACATGTAGCAATAAATCGTAAAATTTCACGAGCTTGCATTTCGAACTGTCATGAGTCTTTGAACCATGCGTTTGATTTAAGACCTTATAGAGCATGCATTAAAGGTGACTTTCAATGTTTAAATAATGCCTAATATTGTTTTTGAATACGCGATCATCTTACGGAGCTCCGTGGATCGTTCAATGTACCTTTTGGACAGATTTCAGCCACGATTTTGTTAGTGCTGTTGTACCTAGGATATTTAATATCGTTGTATATCTCCCATAAACTTTATTACATTAAAATTATGTTACACTTTTAGTTTATTAATTGATATAAGTATATATATATAACCTGTAGTAAGCCTGTTTGTAAAATAACGGAATCTGTAGACAATTATAAAATCCCCTGACATTCATAATTACAAGCTAAACTATCTATATAAATAATTGTAAATGTTTTATCAAAAGTCTACTGCCAACATATTATCTGCTTTATGCAAAAAATGCTTATAAACCAATACTAAATATTTAAATATATATACCACAATATAAAAATATATAGTAAACATCTCTTCTAAAATTAAGGTTTACAAAAATTATTTGCTTTGTTAAATTTTATAATTGGGATGGTCGATCGCCATTTTAAATGATGAAATGTTTTCATTTATGTAGAATGATATTGTGATGTTTTGTAGCTATGTTATTGACATTTCATTTAAAGGTTTGCGAAACTAAGGCTTTTACATTTATGTTAAAATTAAAACCACAAAGGTAGATTAAGTAAAGTTAAAAAATATTGTATTTAGATACAATCGACGATAAAAGTGTTAATTTTTTATATAATTTGCGATTCTATTTTGAAAAAAAAAAAAAGTTTTGCGTATGATCGGCAAAGCTTTTTAATTTACAGTTTTATATTTAAAAAAAACTTCTTACAACGGTGGGTGGTTGTGATCTAAAAATTTCTAAACAAATGACAACATCTCATGACAAGAACGTACAACTAGCGCTAAACTATACCGTAAGGTTATAACCAAAACGTACGACGTAAAATACAAATTAGTATTTGGTTTCTAGACTTTAACTTTTAACGAAAATCAACTTCAGTAGTCACACTTTTTGTTACTTAGTTTAGTACATATTATATTGTACAGAGGTTTGCATTTGTTAAAAGTATTATTATGCAAAAAGGGCCCAAATCTAACCGCTGAGAGCCATCAAAGATATTAATGACTCTACATGAAGTGACAGTTTCACACATAAGTTGTCACAATGGACAACAATTCTGCAAAATTTGGCCACTAGGGGCGCTGTAATCTCTTGATCCAAAACTTCGATCATATACATACTTATTAGCTTAAATTCATTTTTAAGCCTTTTATTAAACAACTTACAAATGCAGAGTTGTGCAATTCCTGGTTGTTGTGAGAGCATGAGCATGCTTACCGACTAAAACCAGAGGTAACCTAACTCTATGTGATGTCTGACTGATGCAAAAATAAGATAGATTTGATTAATGAGCCCGCTAAAACTTACTCAGATCCATGAACTATTAAAATAGTCATGGAAAATGCATCTATGTACCAAGAATGAGCATTCTAACATAATAATAGAAAGAGTACCTTTCTACTAGATCAGCTTTTCTGCCTTGCACAGATGCTCCCCTAATTTTCAACTCTGTTTTTAGCTGTTGTACAAACCATGTTGAATATATTTTCACCACTTATTTAATATTTTTATCAACAAAAAAACACGTTTAAAATTTGACAGCGGCAATATTTGGCTGTGGTTTGGGTCAAGCGTTCGCAGCGCCATCTATGTCGAGCTTTGCGTATACTTCTCCATTGCAATACATGGGATATGATATACGCATGAATAGGGGTGATGACGGGGTACAGTAAACGAAATTCTATTAAGTCCGTCAGCTAGGTGATCAAAAAATAATGGACACGTATTTTTTCTTTGGGCAATCAACCGAAAAATGAAAAAGTTATAGCGCGTCAAAGTTTGGGAGTAGGGCATCGCGACGTCACTTTTAAGTGAAAATTGTACCAAAACGTGACGTCATGCGACTTTTCAAATCAATATATCTCTGCAATGTTTATATTATGTGAAAAAAGAAAAAATACGTGTCCAATACTTTTTGATAATCTACCTGATAAACGAAGAAAAAAAAATTAGTCATCATCCCTATTTGGCCGATGTCTTCTTAAATAATCTATGGACCCAATTTTACACAATAATCCATTTACTATTCAAACGCAACTCGTACATACCTACAGCGAAATCGTCTAACTGAAATAAAATTCAAAGCTTTAAAGAGCTCTCGTTTGCCTCATTATCAAACGAATAAGCAGAAGGGATTATATCCCAGCTAAATATAACAATACTTCAATAAGTAACAGTTAGGCAAACATTTACTATAGGGTGTGGCCATTTTGAAAAATAAACTTACATAAAATGATGTGATGAGGTTACAATATACTCATAATCCATATCAACGTTAATTTTAACAAAATGGCCATGAATGAGTAGCACCACAGTTTAATTGTGCTAATTATTGAAGAAATAATAATAGAAAAAATGTCTTTAAAGCTGATGTTTTTTTTTCACTTAATAAACTGAAGTAATCCTGATACAAATAACTATAATCGACTTTATAACTTGATTAATTAGTATCCTTTATTAACAGCGGACATTATTTCAAATTATGTACAATAATAAAAAAAAAGAAAAAATAATAATAACAACTTAATGTGGAAATTGTGTGAATTTAAAATGCCTTATTTTAATACAAAACATTTAAAAGTGAAGGAATAGGCGGTGGACCTTTTTAAGGCAAAAAAAATCTGAAGTAAGATCTCTAAAGAAAATTCAAAACATAGTTAGTACCAGTATTTTAGATGAAATTATCAGCAAGTTACAGAATTTAATTTCTTTATTAATATTTAAAATATTCATAATTCTTGTCTACTACCAAAAGTTAAATATAAAAATGACCACTGAAAAACACTAATACACAGTAAAAAAAAAATCAAATGTCAAAATAATTTCTTTATATTTAAGTTAGTTAAAAAAAAATATTTTAATGCTGTGAACATAGTATTTTTGCATGATCATTTAAATATTCTTCATATAAAAAAAATATATTTGATCAAATCTACGAGGAAATCTTCGAATAAAGGATAAGATTATAGCAATGTCTTTACCAACTGTTTTATATGTCCCAAATGTTTTGAATACAGTTGTCTACGAAAAGGATAAATTTCATTTACTTATGACAAAGGGTCTTAATGCTACTTCGATAAACAAAAATATACTTGTATGTTAACTTATAATTATTTGACCCGAAACTGTATCAACAAGAAAACAATAATAAGAAGTAATAACTAAACGTAATAACTTATAAAATAAAAAAAATAAATAGCTTAAGATCAATCACACAAGGCCGTGAGATAGCATAAAATAAAATAAATAAAAATTTAAATCTGAAAATATACGAACTTTTGGATCTCGGGTGTGGTTATCGCTCGAAAGGTTGCTGTTCAGACTTGTTTACATTGAAGGCGTGTAAAAGACATCATAAAGCTATGATTACTTGATTGTTCGAAAATTATACAAGGGTATAATGGTTCTTTTCTTTTTTTTTATTCTGCCTTTTTATTGTCTGCAATTTTGTATTTCTTAGAAAAAAAGTTTGCCATCATCAAGTTCTAAAAATTCATCATTTCTCATCACTAACAAACATATATTTTTTTTTGTCTCCCAAAGTGACGTGCTGTCTCATTCTATTGCTATTGTAAAGAAAGCGACAGGTCGAACTGTAATCGAACTTCAAATTTAATTGACGTCTTAAAGTGCTCCATTTCGATAAACAATGACAACATTATGCACACGCTAAAGCTTCATCTTGGATTGACAATCTGTTCAGAAGATTTGACAGTTTGTAGTTACTTGACGTGTGGCTTGGTTTAATACTAGACGATGGTATTAAACATGAAACGTATCGTAAAAATGTTTTCTACACACATATTACATATACCCTACAACTTATTTCAACGGCAATGTTATGTACAAAAATATTCTCAAAAGCGTATAGAAAAAAAAACACCATTAAATACCCAATGTACACAATTTAGAATTTTCATATTGATTCATAGTGGTCAAGGCAGCCTTCCATACGATACTCAGTTCATTCAAGTAGTTGTCTCGCTCTAACACTGGGATATTTTGTGAGAGCGAGCGGTGCAGGTGTAGTTTAATGGAGTCCGGGTGTGACGTCACCGCCTGTTACAAGATGGCGCAAGTTTTCTTCTTGCCGCTCCTGTACTCGGACTTGACGTGTATTCTCTCTGCCTCTTGGAATCGGCGAACCAACCGGACTAACTCGTGGAAAGCCTATTCACATTATATTTGGGTTAATAATTGCTCATAAATATATATGTATTTCCAACACTCACACCAATTAAACTAGCCCCAAAGTAATAGTCCAAGATCCCAGGGCCACCGGCCCCCCTAGCATGACTAACAAAACGCGATATGATAAAGCGATTTATCGACATTAACTGTCAAACTACAATGGAGTTTGACAGTTGAGTGTCGATAAATCGCTTTATCATATCGCGTTTTGTTGCTCATGCTAGGGGGGCTGACGTCACGTATTTTCTGACGAAGGAACTGTGGACGAATGAGTAGTGTTAGTATGTACTAAGAACGCATGCTTACCTGCTAGCTTGCTTTGACAGCCAATTTTCAGATATCAGGTAATCAAGGCAAATAAAAACATTACTTACTCCACGTAAATTCTCCAAGCTGATTTTTATGTATAATTTAGGCAATATCCTAAAAAACTAAGTCGCCAATACTCCCAGATACTTTCCGTCGGCCATATTGCTTTGCTGACGCTTTAAAGCTCCCAAATAGTAAATTCTGATGCTCCATTTTTATACATGTCCACCAGACAGCGACGCATTCTAGAATATACCTGTTAAATTGAGAGTTAGCTAGCACCCGCGAGTACGTAGTTCCTACTTATACCTACGCAGGTAACGCGCATAACTTCTAAACAAGTGCAGGTGTCGCTGCACTTTCTCCCTTACGTCGCACTGCATAAAGCTCTTTTTAGAATGAGCCACATAACTCGACCTATATCGCGACCGGCGGTGCTCTGGCAAATTGTCTGTAGCACTTTCGCGGTTCCGTTTCGAGAGCGTTTGTGACACTGCCCCCTCTTAGACATGCTCGTCCCGAGCATCATTGCTGCCGTGGTAAGGTACATAAAATTGAATTTAGAGGATGATCGGCCCTTTGGATCAGTCTGTTTTCTTGTAAAAGGTTTTAAAATTGTTGTCTGGTGGACATATATAAAAATGGAGCATCAGAATTGACGTGAAGTAAAGTATGTAATTATTTTGGGAGCTTTAACGCGTCTGCAAAGCAATATGGCCGACGGAAAGTATCTGGGAGTATTGGCGACTTATTTTTTAAGATATTGCCTAAATTATACATAAAAATCAGCTTGGAGAATTTCCGTGGGGTAAGTAATGTTTTTATGTAACTTGATTCCCTGATATCTGAAAATTGGCCGTCTAAGCAAGCTAGCAAGTAAGCATGCGACCTTAATACATACTAGCACTACTCATTCGTCCACATTTCCTTCGTCAGAAAATACGTGACGTCTGGTGGCCCTGGGATCTTACTCTATAAGCACTGTAGGCTTGTGTTTTGGGATACTAGGGTAATGGATAGAATACATATACTGATACATATATAAGTATATTTCTTTAATTCATAGGTTTTCACGCACATCACACATTATATAAAACAAGTTTCGGTAGTTAGGGTCAAAAATCATCCAATGAAATATCCGAACTCCAAATAAAAGTCTTTTGAAGGTAGTTCCATAAAGAAAATAAAAAAAGACATTATTCTGAAGACGCATTCCTGTAAAGGCTGCGAAACATCAATAAATAAATAAAATCAGTGCATCTAACCCTTTGAAACTTGTTTTATAAGTATATGTATATAGAAGTACATACAGTACAAATGCTCGTATTCATCACACAAACATGCCCCCACCCGGATTCGAACCCGGGACCTCTCGAATAGGCTACAAACCCGACGCACAAACCCCTCGGCCACGGAGGAGGCTCATATGTATTATAAATTGGAATCTCATGGCAGCACTTGAGGAGTAATTTCAAAGAGATGGACAACTTTACACGTTGTTCTTGCAGTGTCTTTCCACGTCACTCACATGATTTTATAAACTGTACCCCTAGCACGAACCATTATCGAATTCGAATAGTTTGCAAAACCGAAATGTCAATGTCAAATTTTGTATGGAAACTTGAACAGCAACGCCACAAAGTACGTAACGGGAACTAAAAATCAGTACACATTTGACAATGACATTTCGGACTCGCAAACGACACGAATTCGATATTGGTTCGTGTTAGGGTACTGAGCATAGGGATGTCGAAAGTTGAAAAAAATATCGATATATCGATACATCGATCTTTTTAAAAATATCAATATCGGCTTCGATATATCGCGAAAAAAACATCGATATATCGGACCAATTTTCCCAAAAATATCGTACAGTAGCTCAAGAAATATGACACGCGGAATAATAATGGAACGAAAATTATCTCCCTAAAAATAGACCCTATTTTCGAATGATGACATAGACAATACTAAATACAGCACAGATCATAGATATGTTGAATATCATTAATCTGAGCTCCAGTTACGATTTTTCCAGATACGAATTTAGTTAGATCGTGATATGCCGCTAATAATTAAAAAAATATCGTCTTTGATACGAATTTCGATATTGGTTATTTTGTATCGATGTATCGATATATCGAATCAAAATATATCGGCAAAAATATCGATATATCGAACAAAAAATATCGATATACCGATACATCGATATATTTTCAACAAGCCTAACTGAGCATAGATAGCAGCATCCAATGTTACTTCGACGTCCGTCTTCAACAGACCACAGAGACGTAACTGATCAGTCACGATTGTGTGGAGAGCAAACCATCATCGTGGCGATGATGGCCACGTTTTTAATCGCTAGGACCATTGTGAACTTTACGTTTGACACTGTGGTTTACCTACAACGCGATGATTCCTAAGAAACACTCGAAGAAATTCGACACGGCCATTAAGGTCCGTCCCGCCCGGACAGCGGAAGGTGCGGATTCGAATTCTGTCTGACGCTTGAACCGCGTGAATTTTTTCTAGTAAACTTTTCTGTGGATAAATAAATCTAGCGGTCAAATGCTAAAAAATAAGTTCAAAAATGCAATTGGAGAAAGTTGGTTGGTGGAAATTCCACAGAACACTTTGACCTATGAGGTCCCTTCTACTTTTTTAACTTTCTTCAGACTTTTAGTTCAGGTTTTTAGCACTGCAGACATGTTTTATTTTAACAAATATATAATAATAAGGTATAGTGTTAAGAGAGGTAGGACATAGCAGGATTTTCCGGTTGAATAGGGTACTTGACAAGTTTTAGAAAACGATCTCACGTTATTGACTAATGTTTATGGAGTGCGTAAAAAGTGGATATTTATCATTCTGTTGTGTATTTCAGTAAAAACAACCAAATCAAAAACTACATTTTCAAGTTGCCACGATAACGTTTTTCTGGACAATATGGCGTCTTACTAGTGTGTGACGTCACACGACTGTTATTAAAACGTCAAACGATACAATGTAATGTCACTTTAACCGGAAGTTTACTTGCGTGTGACGTCATTTTAGGCTCCGCTAATCCCAAGCGTTTTGAGTCACGTGACAATAGATAAGAAAACTATTATCTTTTTCGTGGGTTTTTAGTAAAACTATGAATATTTTTTTGTGAAAACAGTAAAAACCCCTGCCAATATTCATTCTAAACACAGATGCTAACAATTGGCACTTTATTTTTAATACTGTCAAATACCCTATTGGAGCGCCCGCCCGTCTGTAACCTCCACAGAACAGTAACATACGATAACAGTAAAATAACACTACCTTTAAATGGTGTTGTGTCTTTATCGGTAAGTGAGATTCAAAGGCTCCAAGGGGTAGGGGATTGGGCCAGTGTAGGCAACTGTGCAAGTGATATAGGGCCAGCACAGGCAACTGTGCAAGTGATATTGGGCCAGCGTAGGCAACTGTGCAATTGATATTGGTATCGCAAGCGTCTGTAGGGTATGGTGGCCGTTTACTATCTGGTTGGCCATACGCTTGTCTGCCACTTTTTAACATAATTTTCTTTGTTTTACCGTAATTTTGTATTCATTATGTGACATACCTGATCAACATTCATTCGCGCCTTCGCACTGCACTCTATGTACGGCACCTTTAACTGTCTCGAGAGTGCCTGCGCCTCATCGAGTGACACCTAGAAATTGTTATAACATCAAAATATTTAAATAAAAAATATACACCAATCATCATTTAAAAAATCTCTGTTTAGTACTAGTGCAATTTATTAACGTTTTTCTTTACAAATCAATCCTAAGCTTTTGGTTTTCTACAAACTCCAAAGTCAAAGGCAAGCAAGATAATCTCAAGAAAATATAACTAGAAAAAAATTCACGCGGACCAGGCAGCAGACGGGACTCGAACCCGCAACCTTCGCAATTCGGGCGAATGCACTAAATAATTATGCTACCGCGGCCCTCACGGACCGCGTCGAAATTCTTCTAGCCATTCTTAAGCTGCAAGGCAGCGCCATCTCTTCGCATTATAGGTAACCCACAATGTCAAATGAATACTTTTACAAGTATTAAACATTTGAAAGAAGAAATAGCAATTATAGTTATAATTTCTATTATTTTAAAGCATGTAACTGCTTGATGTTTAAATCTAAAGAAAATATAACTAGAAAAAAATCCACGCAGACCAGGCAGCAGACAGGTCTCGAACCCGCACCCTTCGCAAATTGCGGGTAGGAGACACAGACGAGATGAGAAAGATAATCTCATCTCGTCTGTGTCTCCTGTGTGTCTGTCTTGCCTTGCAAAGTTGGAGGCTGTAAAGGATTCAAAACATCAGGAATAATTAAAAAAGTAATATTTTTTTCAAATTATTGGTCTATGTGAAAGAAATCATCCTAGTAATATATAAATGTGAAGGTTTCTATATCTGTTACTTAATCATATCAAAACTGCTGGCCGGATATGGTAGGATATATTTTAACTCAGAAAAATGTTAGGTTTCTGAAGGATTTTCAAAAAACTAGTTAACTCAGTTAAAATCTTGTTCTCTAGTGAGAACTTTAAATCTGAAACACAGAAACTTTTGAAAAAAATTCACTAAACAGAAAACAAGTCCTGTTTTTTTTTTCAAATTTTTTGACTGTGTTTACAACTGAGTTACCCATTCCTTGCAATCACTTTTCATGAGATACAGCCTGCTGGCAGACAGAGCACAATGTAGGCTTTGAGATACTACATATATATGTATGTATATGCATACCTATATACTAAGTGCAGTATGTCATTTACTTTATATAAGAACAATTAAATTGTTGCTGGGATAGCTTTAAAAAAATCTGTTGTAAAGGTCCACCCACTTCAAACAAGGTAACTATAAGACCTTGTAACATGACCTCATGTTGAAATCTTTTACTTTAAAGACATAAACACTTCACTTTATGGTGTGACTAACACAGTTGCATAAAACCCTTTTCAGCAAACAAAATGACTCAATGCATTAAACCCTTACTGATTTCTATATGACAAAACCAACCTCCTTGGTTTGTTGTTCAATGGACAATATTAAAATGTCCACACTGATATTGAAACTTGATCTTTATGTGTTAGAACACTGAATATATTTTGAGACAGAGTATTATTATAAAACTTTGAAATAAAAGGAATTTCATTCAGAAAAATCAGTGACACTATTGATGCGTGGAATAACAGGATAATATTTGGAAATATTATTTTACACCAGTTGGATGGAGCTATTGTATTATTCATAATATTGTAGTAGTCATGTTGGTTCATTCATAATATAATTGATGCAGTTTTTATTAGGTAATGAGTTCATATTATGCCATAATGTAGTTTACTGCTACATTCAATACTGATGGCAAAGGACCTTCATTGAAACACCCACAGATTAAAAAACATGATTTGCATAATTTAATATGCATGTCAATACATTCTTCAATCTTAGATAAACAAAAATTTTAATACACCTGTGTGGTATATATAGTTTTTCCTCTTTATATTCTGCAACATATTTTTATATATATATATATATATATATATATATATATATATATATATATATATATATATATTTACATATGACTAAGAGACAAATTAAAACCATATTAAAGGTTTCACCTGTATACCTAGGCATTTGCATAGCCACTACACTTGTGTTATTGATAAAGTTCATAATTGGACGTAGTTACGCGAAAACGTTCCAACCCACAGTGACCCCATTTTGAGATAAACGCAATTTTGTGTTTTAGCGGTACACTTTTTCCCTGTAATTATTTCAGGCAAATACTATTGGTGTTACTGTGGAATGCCAAATTGGTTATTGAATGATATGCATATTTTTTGTAAATACATAATACAAGGGGCATATAAATAGGTAAAACGAGTTTGAAACGTTTTCGCTAAATTTAATTTTGTATGAACCTTGTTAAATAGCAATTATGCATAAACGTTCCAGAACGAATTTAAGTGTATTATTTTATAAATATATCTAAAATAAATATGTAAAATAATAAATAACAATGAGGAACATACAAAAACAACAAAAATTTGAAAATGTATTACAAAAAAAATAGAACGTGATCTTTTGAGCTTTGAACCTATGCCAATTTGCTGATATGGTTCCAAAAGTTATCAAAAACTTATATTATAAACATTCAATTTTCATCATCGTATTCTATGATCTCGAAGTCCGGAACTCCACCAAACCCATCAACATCATCAGTGCTTCTTCAGAACAGAAGGCAATCCACTTCCTGTGCACCTCTTCCTACCTCTCCTTCTACCAATACATAACAATGCCCAGTATCATTAGATGCACTATGGATACCACTATTGTAGAACTAAGTAAAAAAGTTAAACCTCTTCAAGTTTACAAAATGACAAAGACTGATTTTATAGTACAACTAAACTGGAAAAGAAGATTATCAATAGGAAGAAGTTTACAGACTCATCTAAAGTGAGTTGGCTACATACAAAAGAAATTAAGTTGGATAAAGATATAATTTTTTCTATTTTTATGCGGTCTACGATGGAAGACGATTTCAATGAGTTGAAAATTGATAAAAGAATAAAACGAGAACTACAATACATAAAAGAATCTGATTTTTGCTTATTGTGGCCTAACGACAAACCGATTGCTCCAGCGAAATTAGTGGACTTACAATCCATGTACCACTACATACCCGAGGATTGCCTTCAATTTTATAGAACGCTTCAAAGTTCTGAAGAAGCACTGATGATGTTGATGGGTTTGGTGGAGTTCCGGACTTCGAGATCATAGAATACGATGATGAAAATTGAATGTTTATAATATAAGTTTTTGATAACTTTTGGAACCATATCAGCAAATTTTTGGCATAGGTTCTAAACTCAAAAGATCACGTTCTATTTTTTGTAATACATTTTCAAATATTTTTTTTGTTGTTTTTGTATGTTCCTCATTGTTATTTATTATTTTACATATTTCTTTTTGGTTTATTTTTATAAAATAATACACTTAAATTCGTTTTGGAAAGTTTATGCATAATTGCTATTTAACAAGGTTCATACAAAATTAATTTAGCAAAAACATTTCAAACTCGTTTTACCTATTTATATGCCCCTTGTATTATGTATTTACAAAAAATATGCATATCATTCAATAATCAGTTTGGCATTCCATAGTTAAACCAATAGTATTTGCCTGAAATAATTACAGGGAAAAAGTGTGTAAATTGCGTTTATCTCAAATTGGGGTTGCTGTGGGTTGGATCATTTTCTCGTTACTACGTCCAAATATACCATAGTTATTTATTTTGGTAAAAAATATTTTTTTCTCTAGAACATACTTAATAGCAAAAATGGATCAAGTATATGTGGATTGTTTATAGCAAAAAATTAGAAAATAATATATTATAATAAAAGGTTTCAATTTATTTAGAACAGTGTTCGCAGCTTAAAAAAACAGTATGGATTAATCTAAAAGGTTTCAAATTACATGGAACATTTTTGCAGAAATAAAAAATGTATAAAGATTTTGCAAAAACGTTCCAACCCACATGGATCATTTAAGAAACCATTAAATGTGCGTTTTATGAATTTAGTATAATGTTCCAAGACAAGTGGAACATTATAACGATATGTTATTCTATTAAGAGTTTTTAACAATATGTTTCAGTATGCATGTAATGTTTTTACTTTATTTTGAGTACACGTCCTTGGCATAATGGTGGGTTGGAACATTTGGGTTAAACTTTATTGATGAAACTAACCTAAAAATACTAGCATCTTTGTGTGCACATGATGTAATATGTCAAAAATAGTACCCTGGTTATGGTAACTCATTTTCGAGTGACTTGTGGGTTGGAACGTTTTCGCGTAACTACGTCCAATTATTCATATGATTTGCTTAGCAATAATTTTATTAGTTCTATGAAGGTCATGACACTGAATATGAGAAACGCTATGAGTAACCTCTTATTGCAACATCATAAAAATGCTTTTCAACCAGTCTTCCAAATGCATTCCTATACTTCTAACTTGACTGAACTTAACTAAGTTTAAATAAAAAGTAAGCAAGGTTGTTTTTAAATATTTTGAAAATAATATTTTTAGGAACTTTTTTACATATTTCAATGTCTTTTGTAGCTCTTTTGAAAATGTTCTGTTATTTTGTCTGTTGTTATTTTTTATTACCCAATATTTATGTAATCTTCATCCATTTCATACAGTGCACCATTTTCGATAGCATTGGCTGTTTTTTGGTTAAAAACAACGATATTAAATACCCTAGATACACCAACATGAACAAAATCATGCCCGAAACATCCAAAAGGTACACTGACAGTCTGCGCGTGACTGTGAACCAAGAAGTGCTTGAGTCGTGTTCAAGCACTTCTTGATAGGGACACATTTTGAGTGCATGTGGTGTATCTAGGGTAAATACCCTATCCATATTGTTGGTTAAAAACAGTAACAGAATCTTCAACTCACCACTCTTTGCATCTCCAGATCAGCTTTGTTCCCAACCATTAACATGGGAAACTCATCTCTGTCCTTGACTCGGAGGATCTGTTTGTGGAATTTGTAGAGCTCATCAAAACTGGCGTGGTCCGCCACCGAGAACACCAGCAGGAAGCCTTCTCCTGACCTCATGTACTGCTCTCTCATCGCACTGAATTCTTCTTGACCAGCAGTATCCAAAACTGTTGAAACAATACATATAAACATTTTTAGTTTTAACATACACATATTTAAGTTAAAACATATTGACATATTCTTAAAAATTATTTGGTTCATAATTTACTCACAAACAATGAGGCTGGCATATTCATAGAATAAAAGCCTCTAAAAAAAAAGAAAAAAAAAGTTGTATTCACTTATATTTAATATTTTTATGTGTACAGTTAAAAAGAAATAATACTTACTGTCCAATTTAGCCGGAATGTCATCAATGACACATTGCTTTGTATAACTGTCCTCAATAGTAGGGTCATAATCAGTCACAAAATAACTCTGAAATATAAACAGAGAGTTCTCATCACCATCTGCTCGTTACAGTGGGCGGAGGCGCCTTAGACCTTGACATTATATTAAGATTGTACAATGAAGCACTATTTTTAAGTATGATGATAGTTCCAAAATTCATAACAAAACTGATAATAACAATTGGAGCATGCATTAGAAACGAGTCCAAATTAATCAGGTATATAAAATGTTCATTAGACTGTGATTTGTTAGCATATAATTATTAACAGAATGCGGAGATGAATACCTGAATAAATTGTATTGTGATTGCACTTTTCCCGACTCCACCACCGCCTACTACCACTAATTTATATGTCTGCGCTTGATTCGGTCTTTCTCCTGGTCTTGACATTTTCGAAATTTTTAATAAAACTGCGGTATGATAGAAAATAATCTAATTTCTTATAATTTACAGACGACCAAATCAGTCAACACTCCTTCGAATTTCGATCAGTCCTTCGTCACTTCTAACAAAATAAATTGGGCATGCATTTTGTGACAACTATCAGATAAAAAATACAATCCTGCTAAAATAAAAGGATTAAGTCTACACTGGTGTCGATTCGGGCGTGATTCTCTAAACTTAAAACTAAATTTAACATCAATCTCTCCTTTTCATTCCGTATAGAGAATGACAAGGATACACTGTTGTCAAATTTAAGTTTAGGTTTAGAGAATCGTGTCAGAATTGACACCACTGAGTCGCTAATCTCTGTTAAGATTTTAATTTTAGTCAGGTTGTACTTCAAAATTTATATTGGTATGTTGGTATTCTGCAGCAAAACAAAATGTCTTCTTTCCATGGTTGCCAACCGTACGAGAATTCTTGTACAAATACGAGATTTCTGATCTTTATATGGTTTGGTACACTGCTATTTTATTCGATATCTGATGGGTACACCGCTATTTTGACATTTCCAACGTATGTTGGTAGTATGTTCTTTTTTATTATGGTTGGTATAAAAGGCACACCTTCCTAATTCAGTACAAGGGCTAGTATGAAAGTGCCGACAGATTACTTGCTCAGTGCCTTCGATGATTCAATCAAGTGCAAAATGAGATGACGAATATGTTTTGCTCAGTGACAGATAGAGATAGAAGCTAAACGTTCCAATACATCGTTTATAAGTCTTAGCATAATTTTAATAGTTTTATATATTAAAGCTATCTTTATAATAAGTTAACGATGACGACGCATACGATTAAAATAATGTATTTATTTAACATTATATCCAATTATGACTTCTTCTACTTCTAGGAAAATTGAAGGTTTAAGTAAAGTATAAAAATAAATGAGCTGGATGGCGCAGGTGGCTAGCGCGCTCGGCTCCGATTGTTGCAGTTAAGCAACTTTCGCAATGGTCGATCATTGGATGGGTGGCTAAAAATCTTCTATCTCGAGTTTCTCCGTGCTTCGGAAGGCACGTTAAGCCGTTGGTCCCGGCTGCATCTGCAGTCATTAGCACCTGCCAATCCGCAGTGGACCCGCGTTTTGCCCAATCTCCCTGTTCCATCCATAGAGAAGGCCAGTGCCCCAGAAGTAGGGACTGTAATAGGCTGACGATGATGATAAAAATCAAGGAAGCTTGAAATGCATAAAATAGAGCGTAACTGTCAAACCGGAAAGGGCTGTTTACTTTAAATATTTTTCTTAGTAAGATAAAACGCATTTAGCAATATACAGCCGAAAATTCAACAAAATTCTTAAGTACTAAAACTTTGGCAGCAGACTGTCTCAGCTCCCTGTATCTCAGAATATTGAGTTCATTCAATAATCTAAACTGTATTCATTCTATCCATCGTGATTCTTCTTCCAAGAGTTGAATTCATAGAATCCTGGAAGAATGAACCTCAATTAAAAAACAGAAACGGAACGTACTGTCATTGTGAGTTTGACATTGACAATAAATTGACAGTGAGCAGTGTATTACTTTTCTTTAAGCAGTGAGCGCAGCAGGCAAACTGCTAGAAATAAAACAAGTTTTATTCAAAATTAACTTAATGTTGGGCAGTTGATATATAGTACTGTGAAAAATAAATTATTTGAAAAGACTGGACTAAACACAAAATGTTTTCTACAAGCTCTCAAAAGAAATTTTGGACTTTTGGTGACGAAAATGAATTGGTATGCCTCCGTGAGAAACACAACTTACAGTTTATTTTGAAACACGGCGCCCACATTGATGAGTACCAGCGATATAACTTCTTTTTGACACCTGACGAAGAAAGGCTCCTGCTTAAGCAATATGAGCTGCATTTAAAAGAGTTCTGCAAGAGGTTTAGCCCGCCTATGCCCAAAGGAGTAGTTGGTACAGCTTTTCATTATTTTAAAAGATTTTATCTATACAATTCATCCATGGATTATCACCCTAAGGAAATTTTGGCAACATGCGTGTATTTAGCCTGTAAAGTAGAAGAATTTAATGTATCCATAGGTCAGTTTGTAGCGAACATAAAGGGAGACAGAGAGAAAGCCTCTGATATAATTTTAAACAATGAACTTTTGTTAATGCAGCAGTTAAACTATCATTTGACAATTCATAATCCATTCAGACCAGTAGAAGGCTTCCTCATTGACATAAAGACTAGGTGTTCGCTTGCTAACCCTGAGCGCTTAAGAAGTGGTATTGACGAGTTTCTGGAGAAAGTATTTTTGACTGATGCTTGCCTACTCTATGCTCCATCTCAGATTGCCCTAGCTGCAGTTTTACATGCAGCAAGTAAAGAACAAGAGAATTTGGATAGCTATGTAACAGATATGTTGTTTAGAGACGCTGGACCTGACAAACTTGCTGTTTTGATAGAAGCTGTACGCAAAATACGCTCATTAGTCAAGATGGTTGAAAGTCCAGCTAGAGAGAAGGTCCGTCTAATAGAAAAGAAGCTTGATAGGTGTAGAAATCAAGAGAATAATCCTGATAGCGAAATATACAAGAGACGCATGAGAGAAGCTTTAGATGAGGATGACCTGCCATACTCTGCGTCTAACAGAATGTCTCTTGATACAAGTGGAGTCAGTCAAGTTTCAATATCTTAATTATGACTAAGAAAGTTTGACATTATATAAGTTAAAAAATGAAATTTTGATGTTTTTGTATTTGCCTTTTTACCCCTTTAAAGATAAGACATTTAAGGTCTATACAGGGTGGTCCAATACCTTATGTATGTTCCGCTATTTTTCTTAGTTTTCGACTTATTTTTTTTGTGTATTTTTAATGATTTCTGCCAGCGAGATTTAAAAATTCATATCATTTTTTGTAGTAGGTATTTTGCAGTTTTTTTTTGTGACAATTGTCTTGTATGTTTTAATAAAAACAATAACTCTGCTTTCTGAAATTACTTAAAGTTACTCAAAAAAGGCTTGAAAGTTGGAACTTTAATTTTTAGTAGGACTTACTCAAACATTCAACTTCAATTTAAAAATACAAAAAGGAGTTTCTATAGTTTCTGGCCAAGTTTAGCCGCAAGATTCTAAACTACCAAAAATCATAAAAAAAATAGTACTTAATCAGCCTATTTTTGTTTTAATTGGCCTTCGAAGGCAGATAAGCTAAAAATCATTGAAACACGATTAAAGCATTAAAAAGTATTTTATCTACTTTTTATCATTGGTATGGTAAATTAAACTTAAAAATGTAATTTCAAATTAAATTCAATTTAAATTTCTGTAAAATAACTTTAGCATGTGTAATTTTATAATAATTTCGGTTTCACTACTAAGATTTAAAACGTGAGCAAGAATAAAGTTCACAATGGCTAGTTGCGAAATCACCTGATTTTTGATAACAAATAAAAATCACAAATTACTGAAAAATTACTATTCATTACATTAAATTTTAAAATATAACTTTTTAAGATGTTGTCAATTATAACTAGAAAAAATTCCACGCGGACCAGGCAGCAGACGGGACTCGAACCCGCACCCTTCGCAATCCGGGCGAATGCACTGACCAATTATGCTACCGCGGCCCTCACGGACCGCGTCGAAATTCCTTCTAGCTATTCTTAAGCTGCAAGGCAGCGCCATCTCTTCGCATTATAGGTAAACCCACAATGTCAAATGAATACTTTTACAAGTATTAAACATTTGAAAGAAGAAATAGCAATTATAGTTATAATTTTTATTATTTTTTAAAGCATGTAACTGCTTGATGTTTAAATCTAAAGAAAATATAACTAGAAAAAATTCCACGCGGACCAGGCAGCAGACGGGACTCGAACCCGCACCCTTCGCAATCCGGGCGAATGCACTGACCAATTATGCTACCGCGGCCCTCACGGACCGCGTCGAAATTCCTTCTAGCTATTCTTAAGCTGCAAGGCAGCGCCATCTCTTCGCATTACTGCCTGGTCCGCGTGGAATTTCTTCTAGTTATATTTTCTTTAGATTTAAACATCAAGCAGTTACATGCTTTAAAAAATAATAAAAATTATAACTATAATTGCTATTTCTTCTTTCAAATGTTTAATACTTGTAAAAGTATTCATTTGACATTGTGGGTTTACCTATAATGCGAAGAGATGGCGCTGCCTTGCAGCTTAAGAATAGCTAGAAGGAATTTCGACGCGGTCCGTGAGGGCCGCGGTAGCATAATTGGTCAGTGCATTCACCCGGATTGCGAAGGGTGCGGGTTCGAGTCCCGTCTGCTGCCTGGTCCGCGTGGAATTTTTTCTAGTTATATTTTCTTTAGATTTAAACATCAAGCAGTTACATGCTTTAAAAAATAATAAAAATTATAACTATAATTGCTATTTCTTCTTTCAAATGTTTAATACTTGTAAAAGTATTCATTTGACATTGTGGGTTTACCTATAATGCGAAGAGATGGCGCTGCCTTGCAGCTTAAGAATAGCTAGAAGGAATTTCGACGCGGTCCGTGAGGGCCGCGGTAGCATAATTGGTCAGTGCATTCGCCCGGATTGCGAAGGGTGCGGGTTCGAGTCCCGTCTGCTGCCTGGTCCGCGTGGAATTTTTTCTAGTTATATTTTCTTTAGATTTAAACATCAAGTAGTTACATGCTTTAAAAAATAATAAAAATTATAATGTTGTCAATTGTTTATTTAGGTTGGAGGAAGGAGTTTGAAAATTTACCACTTAAATAGTAATTTTTCAGTAATTTGTGATTTTTATTTGTTATCAAAAATCAGGTGATTTCGCAACTAGCCATTGTGAACTTTATTCTTGCTCACGTTTTAAATCTTAGTAGTGAAACCGAAATTATTATAAAATTACACATGCTAAAGTTATTTTACAGAATTATAATTTTTATTATTTTTAAAGCATGTAACTGCTTGATGTTTAAATCTAAAGAAAATATAACTAGAAAAAATTCCACGCGGACCAGGCAGCAGACGGGACTCGAACCCGCACCCTTCGCAATCCGGGCGAATGCACTGACCAATTATGCTACCGCGGCCCTCACGGACCGCGTCGAAATTCTTTCTAGCTATTCTTAAGCTGCAAGGCAGCGCCATCTCTTCGCATTATAGGTAAACCCACAATGTCAAATGAATACTTTTACAAGTATTAAACATTTGAAAGAAGAAATAGCAATTATAGTTATAATTTTTATTATTTTTAAAGCATGTAACTGCTTGATGTTTAAATCTAAAGAAAATATAACTAGAAAAAATTCCACGCGGACCAGGCAGCAGACGGGACTCGAACCCGCACCCTTCGCAATCCGGGCGAATGCACTGACCAATTATGCTACCGCGGCCCTCACGGACCGCGTCGAAATTCTTTCTAGCTATTCTTAAGCTGCAAGGCAGCGCCATCTCTTCGCATTATAGGTAAACCCACAATGTCAAATGAATACTTTTACAAGTATTAAACATTTGAAAGAAGAAATAGCAATTATAGTTATAATTTTTATTATTTTTAAAGCATGTAACTGCTTGATGTTTAAATCTAAAGAAAATATAACTAGAAAAAATTCCACGCGGACCAGGCAGCAGACGGGACTCGAACCCGCACCCTTCGCAATCCGGGCGAATGCACTGACCAATTATGCTACCGCGGCCCTCACGGACCGCGTCGAAATTCTTTCTAGCTATTCTTAAGCTGCAAGGCAGCGCCATCTCTTCGCATTATAGGTAAACCCACAATGTCAAATGAATACTTTTACAAGTATTAAACATTTGAAAGAAGAAATAGCAATTATAGTTATAATTTTTATTATTTTTAAAGCATGTAACTGCTTGATGTTTAAATCTAAAGAAAATATAACTAGAAAAAATTCCACGCGGACCAGGCAGCAGACGGGACTCGAACCCGCACCCTTCGCAATCCGGGCGAATGCACTGACCAATTATGCTACCGCGGCCCTCACGGACCGCGTCGAAATTCTTTCTAGCTATTCTTAAGCTGCAAGGCAGCGCCATCTCTTCGCATTATAGGTAAACCCACAATGTCAAATGAATACTTTTACAAGTATTAAACATTTGAAAGAAGAAATAGCAATTATAGTTATAATTTTTATTATTTTTAAAGCATGTAACTGCTTGATGTTTAAATCTAAAGAAAATATAACTAGAAAAAATTCCACGCGGACCAGGCAGCAGACGGGACTCGAACCCGCACCCTTCGCAATCCGGGCGAATGCACTGACCAATTATGCTACCGCGGCCCTCACGGACCGGACGAAAATTTTTGTGGAATTTTTTCTAGTTATATTTTCTTTAGATTTAAACATCAAGCAGTTACATGCTTTAAAAATAATAAAAATTATAACTATAATTGCTATTTCTTCTTTCAAATGTTTAATACTTGTAAAAGTATTCATTTGACATTGTGGGTTTACCTATAATGCGAAGAGATGGCGCTGCCTTGCAGCTTAAGAATAGCTAGAAAGAATTTCGACGCGGTCCGTGAGGGCCGCGGTAGCATAATTTGGTCAGTGCATTCGCCCGGATTGCGAAGGGTGCGGGTTCGAGTCCCGTCTGCTGCCTGGTCCGCGTGGAATTTTTTCTAGTTATATTTTCTTTATTTTACAGAAATTTAAATTGAATTTAATTTGAAATTACATTTTTAAGTTCAATTTACCATATCAATGATAAAAAGTAGATAAAATACTTTTTAATGCTTTAATCGTGTTTCAATGATTTTTAGCTTATCTGCCTTCGAAGGCCAATTAAAACAAAAATAGGCTGATTAAGTACTATTTTTTTTATGATTTTTGGTAGTTTAGAATCTTGCGGCTAAACTTAGCCAGAAGCTATGGAAACTCCTTTTTGTATTTTTAAATTGAAGTTGAATGTTTGAGTAAGTCCTACTAAAAATTAAAGTTCCAACTTTCAAGCCTTTTTTGAGTAACTTTAAGTAATTTCAGAAAGCTGAGTTATTTTTTTTATTAAAACAACATTCAAGTAGGTCTTGAAAAAGATTTCAAACCTCGCTGGCAGAAATCATTAAAAATACACAAAAAAAATAAGTCGAAATCTAATCGCGGAACATACATAGGGTATTTTCGGATACCCCTAGGTGCGAGGAATCTAAAAAAAATATTGACGTCACTAATTGGACCATCCTCCACTTCCCAACTTGCCCTCAAAATGGGTGCCAGATGACTGGTGCCGATTTATTGTCTGGTTTTACTGGGCAAGGAGGAGTCCGCATATACCTTGTTGCTCCCCCAGTGGCTGAAGGATACATAATGACATTTCCTAGACAAAGGACATTGATGGCTCAGGGGTAAGCATATTGAGCTTGTGATCACGAAAGATAAGCTGCTTCAGAAATTGTTGGTGATAGGATGCGTGCCCAAAACCTTTAGCTCCTCAATTCTTCGCTAAAGGTAGCCAGATGGTAAGCGGCCACCATAGCTAATGGACACTTGCGATACCAAAGTTATCGTGGCTATCATCCGTGCAATTGCCCCATTCTCTACCCTGTGGAGTCCTGGAACCTTACTCACCTACAGAAACAACACCACCAAAACGATGTGTTTTTTACTGTAGTCTCCTGCAGGCGGCTGACAGCTGCGGGATTACGCGCGTAGATGGCACAGGATTCGGAGTGGACTCGAGAGGTGAAGAAAGAAGACCCGAGGCGAAGAAAGAAGAGAGGACCGTTCAATTTGGAACCAGCGGTACCACTTCAGAGTGGGCATTGGACGGCTGGGATTGCAACGAAGGCGTTTCCTGTACGTCCGCCCCAGAAAGGG